CGTGCGGAAAACCGCGCAAGCAATGGACCGAGGAAGATGAGAACCCGCCTAGGGCGACAATGGCGCACTTGCTTAGGGGCGCCTGCCTGGGGAATAGGGAGCAGGCCAGATGGTTCCTCAGAGTAACGCCACCTTTGGTGGGGGGGTTCTGATAAGCAAAATAGCACAGGGGGCCCCCGACTCCAAGGATACACTGAAGACGCTGAGGATAGCGCATGTCGCTGCGCTGAAGGGCTCACGCTATAGGGTGCTGGATGAGGACGGGTACGAGGCACTAGCCCCAGCCGTCGGGGGGGTGTTGCCGGCGCTGGTAGATGATCTCTCGGAGAAGAGCCGGAGGGACCTTGGCGCCGGGGTCACGAGGAACTTGCAAGTCGTGGCCGAGGCGGCGACGGGAGCGGTGCAGAGGTGGATCCAGCTCAACGATGAGGCTACCGCGCGCATAATGAAGAGAGAGGAACACATTGAGTGGCTGAGGAAGCTCTTCGCTGGGTGGAAGGAGGCCCGGCCAGCCTTGAGGGAGTCGCGGAGGAGGAGGGATAACAGAGGTAACGTGGGGACGGGCCAACAGCCAGTGGGACGAACGAGGGCCGCGACGGCGGCTCAAGCGGGAGGGAGCGGAGACAGTGGGCAGCGAGCGAAGTGGGTGAGACTGATGATGCTCCTTCGACTTAGGGAGCGGTTCAGCTGCTGGGCGGGCTTCAGGGTGGTGCTCACGCGAAAAGGAATCGACGCGAGGATGTACAAAGCATACAACAAGAGGAGAAAGAAGAGGACGGACATCAGTGATGACGAAACAGAAGCTAGCGCAGACGAGAGCAGGGCAGACCCGGGGACTGGGGAGCCGGAGCAGACGGCATCGGCCGCCGAGGGAACGTTGGGAAGAGGCACGAGGAGGGCGGCGACCTCAACCGACTATGGAGGACCCGTCACCAGACGACGCAGGGCGGACGACGGGGAGGCGGAGGCGCAGGGCGAGACGAGGGAGGGAGCAGGATGTTGCGGAGATCAGCAGGAGGATGTACGACGAGATTAGGAGCAGCAGGGACCCGAGGGACCATGTGGAAGACGGCTAGTGCTAGCCCCCCATCGGGAGGACGACCCCGGCTAGTCGCCGACCACACCCACAAAGAACCCTGCACAAAGACCGCAGGGCGGGGACCTGTTCCTTTTTACCCATCTCCTAGTAGAGGTGTCCGTTTTATTTATTTACGAGGGGTGGGAGAAGCAGAAGGGGACAGGGTCCCCACCTGCACGAGCAGGATCTTGTTCAAGGACGATCAGGGACACCTGGGAACCTTGAGTAGGGAGCGCATCGCGAAAAAAGAAAGAAATTTAACCTCACTACCCAAAGGAAGGAATCATTGACGGCACGCGAGTTAGGACTCGCGCGGATTCCTTTTTTCAGGATCTGCCATCATCCCAATGAACGCCGGAGGCCGCCGCAAATCGAGTCTGCTCTGTAATGTCCTGCGGCGACGAGGCGGCGTGGCAGGATCAAAGCATCGTCTGCGGCGACTGCAAGGTCCTGATTGACCGGTCCGTCAACTTATACAGCACGTGCGCCGTGTACTGTGCGTCGATAGGCCGAGTCTGCACGCAGGGATACCAAAACACCGACGGATGCAGCGTTCCCGATAACATCACGTCACCGATAACCTGTAGCACGTGGATCCAGTCTAGCAACGCGATCTGCGAGTGCGGAGCGCCCGGTCTGTGCGACATCTGCCCCGAATCGACGTACAAGAGCGACACCATTGCCGGCTACGGCTGCTGTAAGCGCGACGGTGAGACATTTGCCTGCGACAACACTGCAGACTGGATCGGCGACACAAACTACCCTGAAACGGGCCTGCCCGTGGGGGTGAACAAGACCGAGTGCGTGTTTCATCCCGACAAGTACCTTTGGGTCCCGTACACGTGCAAGGACGCGCACGCATACTGGACGGCAGGCGCAAACCGCGGCACGTATATCGATTACTCGTGCCCCATAGCGGTTGCGTTCTGGGAGACGGGCGGAGACCCGGGCGGGTGCTGCCTGCCGGCCCCACCAAGCTCTCCGCCGCTGCCGCCAAGCCCGCCAAGCCCGCCGCCCTCCGCCCCGCCTCCGGGCATTCCCGTGGCGGCCATTGTCGTGCCGGCCGTCGTCGGCGTCGCAGCCCTCGCCGCTCTCCTTTCCTACTTCGTCAAGCTTCGCCGCCCGCGGGCTGCGCTCCGAGGCCGAGCCGGCAGCCCGCGCCCTCGCCAGAGCATCGACACGAGCAGCGAGTACACCGAT